TTTTTTTTTTTTTTAGACAGAGTCTTGCTCTGTCACCCAGGCTGGAGTGCAATGGCACGATCTTGGCTCACTGCAATCTCTAATTCCTGGGTTCAAGCAGTTCTCCTGCCTCAGCCTCCTGAGTAGCTGAGATTACAGGTGCCCACCACCATGCTTGTCTAATTTTTTGTATTTTTAGTAGAGATGGGGTTTCACTAAAACCCCCTCAAACCATTTGAGGTCAGGCTGGTCTCAAACTCCTGACCTCAGGTGATCCACCTGCCTCGGCCTCCCAAAATGAATGCTGGGATTACAGGCGTGAGTCACCACGCCTGGTCAAAGTTCAGGAGCTTCTATTGCCGTATGGAGAATGCCATTACTTAGAAAAGATAATGAAGCCAGTGTGCAAAGGAGAAGCAAAGATAAGCAATAGAGAGAAGGCATCTGCATGGCATTAAGGCCCTGGTTTCAGCTGTTCCAGCCAAAACCGATGCTGTTTATTACATTGATGAAAATGTGTCTTTATAATTTGGAAATTGATAGAAGATGACTTGATTGCAGGAAAAGCTATAAACTGTACCTACCTATTATACCATTTGCAAAAAATTCTCTCCTGCATATTTTTTCTTCCGGAGCCTCCTATTGCTTCAACAAAAAGTTCAAGTAAAAAGAAGAACAAAAATAGTATAATTCAATACAATATTTATTGTTCTTTGTGTTAGGTGTGGTAGAGTATAAAGAAGTATGGCTGGCACAAAACCAACTAGGCAATCACTGAAAAGGTACAATGTGAACAAATATGAAGGAGAGATCCTCGCAGGCTAAAAGGGGAGTCTTCCAGCTGTGGGACTGATAAAAGCAGGGAAAATTCGGTAGAAAGCCAAAGACCATGCTCCATGTGTAACTCATGAAGTGATTCAAAACAGAAAGCTAGCTTAATGCGAATCAATGCATTTTTTACTAAGTATGGGGTACTGCGAAAAAGCATAAGGCCCTTGCCTTTTAGGAAATTGCCATCTTTAGAGGCAAAGCAAGACTTGCATATATTCTCAAAAGATCCCCATTACCTTATTTCCCCTTTAAACCGCTTCACCATATTTGAAATCATGTTATTTGCTAGCTTGTTTGCTGATTTGTTTTCCTTCCTTATCCATAGCCCCTTAAGGGCGGGGATTTTTGTCCTTTTTTGTTTTTGGAACCCCAGCCTCTGCAATAGTGCCTGGCACAATGCAAACAGTTCAATAAGAATTCATTGAAAGAAATGGAGAATTATGTCGTAGGGTGAAATCATCCTAAACTCTCTGGCCTTGAACCTCTCTAGCTCGGCCAAGATGTCAAACATTAGGGGTTAGGCCGAAAAGAGAAGAGGAACAATTTTTTTCCCCTTAGGTCAGTGGTTCTTGGCCTTTGGTTACATTAGCATCACCTGGGGGCATCTTTAGATATCATCCCGAAGCCCAGACAGCACCCAGGACTAAACCAGAATCCCCAGTCAGTGGGTCTCAAGCATCAGTATTTTTTTTATTTTTTGAGACAGTCTCCTTCTGTCACCCAAACTGGAGTGCAGTGGCGCGATCTCGGCTCACCGCAACCTCCGTCTTCCGGGTTCAAGCGATTCTCTTGCTTGTCTCCTGAGTAGCTGGGATTACAGGCGTCTGCCACCACGCCCGGCTAATTTTTGTATTTTTCAGTAGAGACGGGGTTGCGCCATGTTGGCCAGGCTGGTCTCGAACTCCTGACCTCAGGTGATCTGCCCGCCTAGGCCTCCCAAAGTGCTGGGATTACAGACGTGAGCCCCCGCGCCCGGCCAAGCATCAGTAGTTTGTAAAGCTGCCCAGAAGATTCCAACGTGCAGCCAAGGACAAGAACAGACGGAGCCAAGGCGCACGGGTCAAGCATAAAGGAGATAAATTCCACTGGGCAGGGCCGCGCCTCTTCTTGACGTCACGGCCTGGCGGTGCTGCGTGATTCGTTTACTCAACCGAGAATGGGCTGGCCTCGCTCTAGCAACACGCCCCGCACAGATTGAGTGGGAAGCTCCGCGGCGGCGGACTCCAGCCTCCCGCCAATGAACGGGTAGGATCTGCCCAGGACAGCGCAGCCCCGCCCCGGGACAGCACAGCTCCGCCCCCGGACGCTGCGGACCCGCCCCCGCACACAGTGGTCCGTCGCCCCGGCAGTTTCTCAGCCAGGGCGCGGTCGGAGGAGTGGGGCTCGGTTTGGTGCTCGTGCTCGCGCTCGCGCTCGCGCCTGTTTTATCGCTTGTTTCCCTCCACCGACCAGCGCACGGGACCCGGTTTTCCATCGCGCGCACAGCAGCCTAACGCAATGAGGCGGGCAGCACTGCGGTAGGTGGCGGGGCGTGGAAGGGGCTGCCAGGGTGGTAGCCTGGGGCGCCCCCACCTTCCCTCTGAGCTCCGGGCGAACCCCAGCAGAAGAAGTGGGCCAGGGCGGGCTGAATAACGCGTGGACATTTGGGCTCGATGATAAGGGGCGCTCGCTCACTGTGACTCTGGCCGGACATGGACCCGCCGGCCTTGGGTTGGGAGAACCTCTCCCCCGTTTTGGCGACTTCTGTCACTGAGTTAACATTAAAAGCAAAGCGGCAGTTTTAAGGGAGGAAGTTGGGTGTTCCCTGAAATTCCTTTCTCCTTGCTCATCGGGGTGTGGTTGGCAGCCGCTTTGGGGTAGCCGCTTGTCAGATGGTATTTGGAGTTTCACGTTACCTCTAGCCCTTCCTCCTTTGGAGAACATTTTTAGGATTAAATGCTTGACCTGTTCGGGCTCTGACCTAAGTTTGTTGTAACATTGGCAGAGATTGCAAGGTACCATTTGGCTCTCAGGACCTTAGTTAGGACTGTGTCTAGGGCCCTCCTGCCGATTTGAACTTTACCTTTAATGAGCCACAAAGCCGGTAGAAGAAGCGGGATGCTTTGATTGGGCCACGTGAGGGGGATGCCTCTTTGTATATGTCATCTTCCCAGCTGGCGTAGTTAAGGCCTACGGGCCTTAGACTCCAGAGCATGTCTGGCTCTCCCTAATGCCTTTCACCCCAGCATGCCAGCCTTTCCAAATTTTCTGCCTGGCTGGATCCCAGGGTGCTCACATGTAGATGTGAGCCAGTTCATGAAGTTATCTTGCTACCAGTGGGCCTGTCTCCAGATGTGACTCATAGTGCTTTTGACTCACACTGATCCCATCAATTCTCTTGGGAGTCCTGGATCTCTTTCTCTCTCTCTCTCTCTCTCTCTCTCAAGGTTCCTGAGGACTTTGTTATCAGTTGTAAGGGTTCTGTCTGTCTTGTTTATAGTACTTTAAAAAAAGCCTTGGTTAAACTATTTGAAGACAGACTGAAAGTTATTATGAGAGGGGCCGCAGTTGGCTTTAACTTGCAATGTGAAAAATCTTCTACAAAAGCTCCGCGGTCTTGGTCAAGTACTTTCTCTCATAACATCCTGTTCCTTTCTCGAAAGTTATATTCAGGCCGGGCGTGGTGGTACACATCTGTAGTCCCAGCACTTTGGGAGGCTGAGGTGGATGGATCATTTGAGGCCAGGAGTTCGAGACCAGCCTGGCCAACATGGCAAAACTCCTGTCTCTACTAAAACTACAAAAATTATCAGGGCATGGTGGTACATGTCTGTAGTCCCAGCTACTTTGGAGGCTGAGTCAGGAGAATCGCTTAAACCAGAAGGTTGAGGTTGCAGTGAGTGGAGATTGCACCCCTGCACTCCAGCCTGGACAACACAGTGAGACCCCGTTTCAAACAAACAAAAAACTATTGAGCCTTAAGCAGATAATCTGTCAGTGTCTAGTGAGAGGAGGAGTTCACAAATGAATACAGACTGAGATGATTAGGTTCTTTGACTGGTGGGCAACCTTTATTGCTTCTTTTTTAGACTTGGAAGAGGCGCTTGACTTTGTGTAGTCTCTAAATAGATGTTATTTCCTCAGAGTGAAGGGCATGTGAGTAGCATTGCCTGTTATTGCACTGAAAACTCTTCCTTGCCACCTGCTCTAAGTTTGGGACTTAGGGCTGAGTCAAGACATTTGTACATGTTGGCTAGGACAGTCTCAATCTCTTGAGCTCATGATCTGCCCGCCATGACCTCCCAAAGTGCTGGGATTACAGGCATGAGCCACTGCGCCTGACCAGCCTCAGTTTCTTAAGGAGGTTGGTTTAAATCAGAATGTTCAAATATAGAGGGATATCGGGGTATCAAAAAGGGTCTGTGCACCCCCTGAAATAGTATATACCATTTTGTGTGTGAGCAAAACTGTATTCCAACCCTCCCCATGCCTGCCTGAGGTCCACAGTTTCCATCAGATTATCTGTAGATAGGATGCCAAATGTAGTGAAAAGTTACCATTACATGCCAGGGATGGTGGCTTACGCCAGTAATCCCAGCACTCTGGGAGGCCGAAGTGGGCAGGTCACTTGAAGTCAGGAGTTCAAAACCAGTTTGGTCAACATGGTGAATCCCCATCTCAACTAAAAATGCAAAAGCTAGCTGGGCATGGTGGCACACAGCTGTAATCCCAGCTGCTTGGGAGGCTGAGGCATGAGAATCGCTTGAACTCAGGAGGTGGAGGCTGCAGTGAGCCAAGATGTGGTTCCAGCTACTCAGGAGGCTGAGGTGGGAGGATCACTTGAGCCCCAGGGAGGTCGAGGCTGCAGTGAGCCATGATTGCACCACTGCACTCCAGCCTGGGTGACAGAGCGAGACTCTGTCTCAAAAAAAAAGTTACCATTGGCCGGGCACGGTGGCTCAAGC